CGGCCATAACCAAGAAGATTGTGCATAGTTCTTTGAAAAGTTGGTGGTCCATTCATAATACCCTGTGGAAGAACGTTGAACTCCCATAAACCATCTTGTGTGATAAAAGCTGTTTTTTCTTTATCTGTTTCATGTATGGGAAGCTGAAAATAACCGGATTTAAGATCTAATTTTGTATAAAAACGATGACCACCTAATCGATGCAATAATTCCTCAGTTGTTGGTTGAGGAAAGCAATCTTTTTTGGTCACCGAATTTAATTTTCGATAATCCACTAAAAATCGAATACCACCATCTTTTTTCTTGTGAATAATAACTGGAGATGACCAAGGTGAATTTGATGGACGAATTTGATTTGTTTGTGTCATTTTTTGGACTTCATCTTGAAGTTCACGTCTTTGTTCGATGGTTCTTGGATACGGTCTTGAGCTAATCGGAAGGCTATCACCGGTGTTAATAGTGTGTTGAATATGCGTGTTGGCTAGTGTAACTTTCGAAATATCAAAAATTTTCATGTGCTGTTGTAATATTAAACTTAATTGTTGTTTCTCTTGAACATTTTTAATATGAGTAACTAATTTATCAATTGCGTTCGATGTTTCAGAAGGTTTTTGTTCTAGTTCAATTGTATTAAAAATGTGATGCTGAGGCAATAACGACGAGGTTTCACGAGATGTATCAAATAATAAACATGAATGCATTTCATACGGGGTGTGTGTTACTCGACCTAGAAGAGTATTCATTGGTAATGTGTAGGTATAATCATGTGGATTATATACTTCTAAATATGTGGTATAATTATGTATGTGTAACAACGATGGTGACATGACAATAGATTTTTCGGATTGTATAGGATCGACAGGCGAGAAGTAGACGGCATCAGCTGATGATAATTCGACTTTGGCTTGAACAGTGTATGATTCACGTGGAGGTATATGAATAACATTAATTGATTTGACATCTAAAGTTAAACAATCAATGCTTTTGTGAAATGGAATAAATATACGACCACATGAAGAACGTATAGACACTTGATTTTTTTCATAATCGATTCTTGCTGCATTTTTGGTACACCAATCACTGCCAAGTATAAAATCTGTATTCATTGTTTTGGCGACGAGAACATTTAAAGGCGTAAAAACTTTATGAAATTGCAAGAATAATTGAACTTCACCCACTATTTTAAGCGTGGTTTGACCATCACCTAATTGAGCTATACGATCACATGGTGGTATGGCTGAATGATATAATGTGCTCAGGGCACCTTGAGTGATAAATGAATGAGTGGCACCAGTATCGATCATAGCACGTAGACGTGATCCATTGATGAGAGTGTTGATAAAAATTAATGACGGGTTGGATTTTTTAATATTTTGATTTACGGCATTATGTTGTGCGATGGATTTAACGAGCGGTTGTCGAGGGTTGTTAATTGTGATATAGTTGCGAGGGGGTACCGAGGAAGTCGGATATTGTATTATGTTGCGATTAATACGATAACGAAAAAACGGAGTGAAGCGACGATAGATATGTGGTTTTTGTACAGAATAAGTATGATTTATTGATGAAGAAAATAATGATGGCCGCGATGGGTGGGAGTCACTACCATCATTTGACTCCCTTAATAGTTTTTTGCAGATCTACAATCACGAGCAAAATGGCCCAATTTCTGACATAGATAACATCGTAAAGGGCGTGACTGATAGTGTAATGCATTAAACGGAGATTGTTTAGTTTGAGGTGGAGAACGTGGCGATGATGGATCATGAAATCGATTGTATGTTGTGCGAGGTGAGTATACGCTTGCGGAATAACCTTTAGAATTTATATGTGATGAATTTTGGTAGTGCGCAGTTTCAACATTTTGTGGAGATCTATATAATGAGTTGTTGGAATAATTTGTTGCTTGTGTATCACTATCATTGGTTTGTTGAATAGACGTATTAACTAAACGATCTAAATTTTTTTCTTGTCGTGCTTGTTCTACCCAGACAGACAAAGATTAAAAAAAAACGGTGAAATACCCGTAG